GGCGCTGCGAGCGATGTAATAAAGCACGATGATGTTTCATGCTACAATTGCATAACATGTCAAACTAGTTCCTTGTTATGACGAGGAGCCATAGCCTGGCAGATTAGGAGTACTTTTTCTCATAAATTCTCTCATTCACTCCATAGCTGATGGCACCTAAGAGAGGCCTCTTCGAAAAATTTAAAAAACCAAGGTCTTGAAGCAGGCAGGATTTGAAAACATTTCGCTTTAGACACTCTTTACAGCGGCTAATGGACATCACATATTCATTCCATAAAAAAAAAAAAAATACAACATTACTTTTGAATGCATCCTTAACTAGCATTCACAGGGAACGAACATTAAAAGGTGATGTAACAAAAAAAAAAAACACTAAAACAGGAAGTTCCAGTAAGTGTCACTCTGTAACGGCCTCTGTGACTGTGACTGTCACTCTTGTTACTATCATTTCACCTCTCTGTCACCGTCATTAAATTTGTCACAGTCACTGTCTCAAACACGCGCTGGATGAAAAGCTGAGGGAGGAACATGCGGGCTTCCGAGCCGGCCGAAGTTGTACGGATCAAATAGCAACGCTGCGGATTATTGTGGAGCAAAGCATCGAGTGGCAGTCCTCCTTGTATATCAACTTTATAGATTTCGAAAAGGCCTTCGATAGTATCAGCAGAGAGGTTTTGTGGAGGTTGTTGCGTCACAACGGGATGCATGCCAAGTTGGTCATCATCATCAGAGCTCTCTATGAAGGTATTTCCGCACAGGTGGTACACAATGGACAGAGGACCCAACCATTGAATATGAGGACGGGGGTGAGACAAGGCTGCCTGCTATCTCCCCAGCTGTTTCCGGTCGCCCTGGATTGGATGACGAGGACAGCCTTTGACAGGAAGAGAGGTATTCAGTGGACCTTTATGACATCCTTAGAAGACCTTGACTTTGCCAATGATCTGGCCCTACTCTCGCACACAATTCAGGATATGAGGGAGAAGACAACAGCCTTGGAGATACAAGGTACGAAGGTAGGCCTGAAGATCAATGCCATCAAGACAAAGTTAATGCGTATTGGTACTAAACGTGGCGATGGTGTGTCGGTTGCAGGGGGGCAGATTGAGGAAGTGGATGAGTTTACATACCTCGGGAGTATTGTAAGTAAGAAGGGAGGCACTGACGAGGACATTCAGGCACGAATTAGGAAGGCGAGACAGGCATTTGCGATGCTAAGACCAATATGGCGATCCACAGCACTAACAATTAAGACGAAGCTGAGAGTCTTTGGGTCAAATGTGAAGGCGGTGCTCTTGTATGGTTCTGAAACTTGGAAGCTGATTGGGAGTTTGGAACAGAAGTTGGAGGTGTTCATCAATAAGAGCTTGAGGAACATCCTGGGTATTTGGTGGCCTAGAAATGTTAGCAACAAGGAGCTTTGGAGACAAACAGGGCAGCGTCCGGTAGAGCAAGAGATAAGACAAAGAGCTTGGGGCTGGATCGGCAACACGTTGAGGAGACCAGATGGACATGTAGTCAAGAGGGCACTGGAGTGGAACCCACAGGGGAAACGAAAGAGAGGGAGACCCCTGCACACTTGGCGACGTACGAGAATTGCAGAGTTAGAGAGGAAACATCTCACGTGGAGTGAGGCAAATGGCACTGCACAAAATAGGGTTAGGTGGCGCGCTCTAGTTGAGGACCTATGTTCTACTAGGAACGAAAAGGAATAAGAAGAAGACTGTCTCAAACTCTGTCACAATTACTGTCACTATCACTTTTACTCCCTTTATCACCATCACTGATACTGCCACTATCGCTGTCTCTTCCACTGTCATTGTCTCTGTCACTATCAATGTCAGAGTCACTGTGATTGTCACTGTGACTGTCTCGGGTACCGTCTCTTTCATTGTCACGATCGCTATTAATTTATCTGTAACCTTAATCACTGTTAACATCAGAGTCACTTTCACTTTCTCTGAATAAGTCCCCTCAACAGTCACTTTCTCTTACACTCTTAAGCCCACTGTCATTCTCCTTGCAACTGTCACCTGTTATGTCATTGTCTCTCTCTGTCATTATGTGAGTCACTGTCACTCTCTATGTCATTCTCACTGTCTGGTCACTGTCAGGTTTACAGTCTCTTTTACTGTCCTTGTCATCGTAACGTTTAAATCACAATGTCTCAGTATAACTGTCACTGTTACTATCATCGCCTATGTCAGTCATTTTCACCATCACAGTACTGCCTCTGTCACTGTCTGTCTCTTTATTTTTGTTGCCGCTACTCTGTCACTGTCTTTGTCTCTCTAACGTTTAAATCACAATGTCTCAGTATAACTGTCACTGTTACTATCATCGCCTATGTCAGTCATTTTCACCATCACAGTACTGCCTCTGTCACTGTCTGTCTCTTTATGTTTGTTGCCGCTACTCTGTCACTGTCTTTGTCTCTTTCACTATCTCTGTCGGTATCATTGTCAATATCTGTCTTTGTCACTTTCGGTGTTTGTCATTTTCACTGTGTATGTCATAATTACGTTCACTGCCTCTTTCATTGCCTCTGTCACTGTTTATTTAACTGTACCCGTCTATGTCATTGTCATTGTCATTATTACGGTCACAGTGACAACCCATATCTCTGTCGGTCACTGTCTAACTCAATGCCGCTGTGAGTGTCACTGTCATTCAGTTACTGTGTTAGATGTCAATGTCAATTTCACTTCCTCTGTCTCTGCCTCTTTTTACCGTTATGGTCACTGTCATTCTTTCTGTTACTGTAAAGGTCACTGCAAACAACACTGTCAGTGTCGCTTTGATTTTCATAGTCACTGACACTTCTATCGTCTCTTCCAGTGTCACTTTCTCTCTCTCTATAGCTGTTCCTGTCTTTTTTACTGTGTGTCAACCACTACTCTTGCAACCACTACCAAAGTCTTTCATTTTCAGCGTTACTTTGTACTATCTTTCTCTCTGCCACTGTCACTCTCACTGATCTCTCTTCTACTCTCACTCTTCCAATTGCTGTCTCACTGTCTCTGTCATTGTCGGCGTAGCTCTCTCTCACTGTCTTCGACTGTCACTGTTAATATCACTGACACCTCATTGTTCTCGCCGCTATCAATGTCTCTGGGTCTTTATCAGTCTGACAGAGACAGAGACAGTGAAAGTGACAGAAACAGTAACAGAGAGCAAGACACTGACTGTTAGTGAAAGTGTCAGACACAGAGACAATGACAGTGGCATAGTAGTTTAATTTTTCATTGCAGTTGCCAGCCGCACTGCTCCATATTTTTTTCATCACTCTCTGTCTGTGTAGGAGGTTGCTACGCTGGGCAATACATTCTTCAGTACTTTCAAAGATATTCAAAATTCCCTCTCTGGCTAAAATAATTGGAAGCAAGGTTTGCTGCTTTACCGTTAGTCAAAAAAAAAAATCCTATGATGTTGCTTTAAATTATCTTTTAATGGCTCTGGAAAGACTATCAAATGCCGTTTATTGTCCTCCATGTATCATTAAAGCTGCATGAAACGATTGTATCAAGCTCCACTGTATCGTTTGGGTCGATGTTTGCAGATCAGAGGTGTTGCTTGTATGCCTGCTTGATAGAGAAAAAGACACTAAATCAGTATTTATGCGACGTAGACAAAACCAGGATCAGATCACGGACCGGATCGCGGACAGGATCATGGATTGGATCAAGGATCAGAGAATAGAAAAAAAAGTTTTGAAGTATAAATTAACTAAAAAATAAAAATGGGAAACCAAAATACGTTAAACGAAAATTGGAAATTTCGCGTGTGAAGCCAGAATAAAGTTTGTATGACATATTGTAGAGCAGGCCCCGCTGGAAGTTATTTTGCCCCAAGACTTCATGTAGCCACTTTAACAGCAGTGTCGAGGAGTGCTGTGTAGTCCCGCCATGGAAGATGGCAAGCGAGAGGTACCTATCTATTCATCAATCAGTTATGTCTTTTCTTAATATCATCTCACGTGCTACTTTTATCTTGTTCATTTAAATCGATTAGCGTGTAAAAAAATTCAATTCTGGTGAAGAAGAAATTAAGAAGTTCATAAAAGAGAATAAAATTCATTAGTGTGCGCGACATTGCTTACATAAATCGCTCACGTGCACTTCTATCCTATCTAAAACAATCTTACTCGTCACCTCGTTTTTTGCCTCTTCTCTCGCGTGTGTTAGAGGATGCGTAGAGGATATTACATGGCCCCGCGGAGATACGAATTTTATCTTTGAATGCTGTAAGCATCTCTCAGAGTGAGCGAAGCGAACGAGTGAGAGATACTTTCAGCACGAGAAGATAATGATGAAATTTCCACTTAAAACACAACCTTTATCTATTCATTTTCGAAACAGCAAAATAGTACAATTAAAGTGGTCGCCTATCGCAAAATGCCTGTCACAAAAATGTTATGAAACTTGGATATAGAGTTATAAAGGAGAAATAAAGACAGTAATACTCATAATTTCTGTTCCAAAAAGCGGGAAGCTCTCTTGTAATTGGCTTATTATGTTAGTAAACATGGTGACACCAATATCCTCACACATGAAAGATAAAAATAGTATCTTCACTGCGCGCGATGAAGATATGATTTTTAGTAAAAGGAAAAATCCTGGCATTTCATCAGTAACTATATAATAAATGATAATAATGAACAAGGGAAAAGTAGCACGTGAGATGATATTACAAAAAGACAACAACTGACTGATGAAATGATACCTACCATTCGCTTTCCTTCGTCCATGACGGCACTACTCAACAGTACTTGACACAGTCATGAAAGTATTTTTTTTCATAGCGTCATAGAAGGAACCGCTCGACCAATCAGATTGCTGGAAAGTCTTTGCTCAGCTCTGATATTATACTAAAAATGAATAAAGGCTGATAGTTTCGAAAGAAACTGTTTGGACCCGCGTCGGTGGGAGTAACGAAATAATTAGGATATATCAACGAACTAGATACTCTTTTAATTCGTTTAAGTAAACATACATACATACCATAGTTAATTGAGGGGACTGGTTATGAAGCTCGGCGAAGAACAAAGGACTATGTCTTTGTTTACGTTTTTAAAGGTCACGTGACAATGACCGTGCACACATTTTCAAGATGGCGTCGCTTGCCTGTGCGCGTGTTCTCGAACGGTGAAAGCTTAAAGTTAATTTAGAGCGTATTGGAAAAGATTTATTGGTCACACAGGTGTTGAACAGTTAGAGAAGTAGTTTGTGTTTGTGTATTGCGAAATGCCTGGCGATAACTGTGCGGTTTTCGGCTGTGGCTCGTGTAGAAGGACGAAAGGAATCGGGATTTGGAAGCTGCCTTTCCCGAGAAACGACGAGTACAAGAAGTGGAGACTGGAGTGGCTAAATGAGATAAAGAAGACTCGTGAAGTTGATAGCGATTTCCAGAAACAGATTGATGGTGACAGAGTTTATACATGCGAGAAGCACTTCGCTCCTGAGGACATAGAGATATGTAAGTAATGCCAAATGATAAACAAGCTGATCGTAACATGACAACATAGTGGGGTAGCTTGTTGTTCTTTTGGGCTTCATTCTAATGATCTTTCTTACTTTTCCAGTTCAAACGGCGAAAATGACAAAGAAGAAACCAATGTTTGGGGCTCTACCTGTTCGGAACATGCCAAAGAGAAGCCACGAAACGGACAAGACGACTCGAAGGCCGCCAAAAGTTGTAGTGACTGTCGAGGAGACTACTAGTTGTTCCAGATACTACAAGAATTTTAGAGACCTGTGTAAACGTGTCAAGTCCCTCAAAACTCTCAGTGAGTGGACTCAACAAGAACTCGAGGACAGGATTGTCTTAAAGAAAATTCTGCCTTCGTTACAGATTCCAGAGCTCGAAATAGTAATCGATGACAGCCTCGGTTTTACTATTCTTGTTTACGGATGGCTACTACCTGAAGACCATGAACTTTACACTAAAAACTTTAGGTCCATAAACAACATTACAGCATCGGACCTTGTGAAACATGTGGAACGTTGTTTGATTTGCCCTGGAGTAGAGACGAATGTATTTACTGGATCATTTTATCATTCTTCCACTTC